TATATACGCACACACACACACACAATCATTTAACATAGCTGTGTGTCAAAACCCACAAGACATGGTGAGGACACGCAAACATGCAGATCAGAGGTGAAATTCGAACCAATGCCCTGGGGTTTGTGAGGCAGGCCACCATACCACCCACATTGCTGTAATTCTTGATTGCTTCACTATCATGATACATTTATAATATCACATGAGTCATCAGCATGAGCATGATATTCATTTTTTTATTATTTAAGAAGCACGATACAATGGCAAGTCCCTTCTCTGGCAAAAAGCTGAGCAAACGTTTCAACAAAGTTTTCCCTTTGTCATATAACAACAACATCTTGCTTCTTACAGCCTACCAGCAAATCATCAATGCTATATATTTATCATCCATGTGTATGATGAGCAATAAAGAAAGAAGACTTTTCCAGCCACAAACAGAGGGAAGTATGGACAGACATGCCCTACTTTAATGGTAGGTACAAACCTTGTACTACTGCACAGTAAAAGAATTAATATATCTGGCTTGACTGTGTCATACAACTTCCTTGAAACAGGTCGTGGGCTAATTGAAACCAGATAAAAGACCCAACCCATATCTTCACTACTGCCAGATATGGCTCCTATATACCAATCAGACATTAACCCAAAGCAAACAGATCCTGTTTGCTCAGACAAGGGGTTAATATTTTTAAAATAACCCTTCCTGTTTCACATTATGGCTGCATGCTACAAAGGGCCATATTTGCCTTGGGTCAGACAATAAGAGAAAACAAAGGAACAGTTATAACGACCTGGTGATTATTGTGGTGGATCGTTATTATACAAATTATTTAAAGACGAAAAGTTAAGTCTGAATACAGCATAATAGCTGCGTATCTGCGATGTGCCTCGATCTCGCTGGGAAATATTCAGAGTTTAATGTCTTCGGGGAGTTAATGTCAGTAGCTGATTTTCAGAAAGGAATGTGATACTGCGGAGTAGGTGGCCGAAAAGACAACAATAAATAATACTTATATTTCAGATATAAAACTACCACCACTACTGTCATCATAAGATAGCAGCTATTTACAGGGCGTTAAAAATAAAATTTCGCTTTTCTCATGTGCCAAGCCAGGCAGTCCATACAGTAAGAACAGCTGATATTACACTGTCGGAATAAGAATAACACTAAGACACGGATTTATTAAATCCTATATATTGTATAGATGCATCCGCAATAATGTTGCCGAAAGTCGAAACTTACCCATGCAACCAGGGGGGAATCCAAGAAGTTTTCCATCAGTTCAGACACCGTAACATCCATTTTTAAAAGCAGGTAGTAGGTATCCAAAGGCTCACGGCGTTTTTATATCCAGAAAATATATCTGCAAATCACGTCCAGTTCCATGCGTTTGGCCCCAAGTAAAAAACGCCTGTCACGATGGGGGGACATCAAGCCCACACTTCGAAATTCCATTTATAAGCGATATAAATTCAGCAGCCACGCTACTACCTTTCGGATCAAAATGACAGCGCTCGGGTTACTTTTCAACAGTTACCTTTGCGATCGACCAGTCAAAGTATTCCATCAAAATGAACTGGACAGTTCATGCTGTACTAATGAACAAAAGTAACCGAAACTACTTATTTGCAAAAGAGTTACCTTGCGCTCGTTTAGTTAACAAGACCGCACACGCTTCTATCCGCCCTGTAATCAATCATACTGTATATCTAGAAAGTAATTTTTTGCACTTTAATACTCCAAGAAAAGTTAAAACAAACTTTACGTTGCAAGTTCATAATATAGATAAAAACATACATTACATCTAAAAAAAAAAAAGAGAGATGGGCAGTTCAATCCAATGCAAGGCATAAAAATAAATGTGTAGGCAATGAAAAGCGTTACTGTTGGAAGTACCTTCCCTAACTCACTATCACAAGGCGCTCAGCATCCAACCTGCGGCCGCACAGGCAGTCCTGCCAACATGACCATCAGCCAATCAAATCGCGGGACAGAAAGTGACGGCGACGGGGGGAGGGGCGATTCCCAAAACCACCAATGCGCGCCTAACAGGACAAGAATCCTGCATTTTAAATGAGGTCGAATAACGTGCGTAAGAAGCACCTGACAAAATTCGGGGTGTTAAACGGCAAAAGCAGCTCAACAGCCCCCTCAGGTGTCCCGCGTTATAGAGGCGAAAGTGGCACCGTTCAGAAAGCGTATACGTGCCAGTAACAGAAAATTCACTTCTTTCAAAATATGCGTTTATTCTGTAATTTTTCTTTACTTAATTATATAGGAGCAGACTAAAATGAATGGTATTATATGCATTTCCTGGGGATAAAATTTAGGATCTGGCAATATGATTCATTGTCCGGTTAATATTCACCGCTACTGCATGCATTTCGTTCAGGCCTCCCCTCCGTGGTACGGCAGGTTTATCTGTTCTCTGAAGCGACTGGATCGCCCTGTTAGGTATGTAGATGCACCAGCGTGGATCCCCAGCGATGCTGAGCTGCACTCTGCTTTACACCCAGCTTTCTGGGAACAGCTCCTCCCTAATTGTGTAGTAACTTAACGGATAGCCTGCTTTAGGCCAACTTCAACTGTTGACATCGTATATTTGGATACGATGGATCTTTCATGAGTCATAGTTTGTTTTACATATTTCATAGCTAAAATGACATAAAATCACAAAGTTTAATGTAACAGGTAATTTTGACGATTTCGTTTCCACGACACGTCCGTCTTGTAGCGGCACAGCATGTGCATTCAGATCTCCTTCAATGGGCCGGATCATATTCAACCTTCACATGTCCAGCATATTAGTAATATTGGAATCTAGGTCGTAAATAGTTCAACTTGCAGTCGAACTATGCTTTGCATAACTGCCATGCTAATATATCAAGCCTACGTCGTAACTCTGTAAGCTGGTTTCTTCAACTAGACAGAATGTCTGACAGCGAATTTATCTGTAGATTATATGAATTTGCTATATAGTACATTGGTGCCAACGATTCATACAAATGAAACTACACAGTAAAGTGTTGTTTGGCAGCATGCACAAAAATTCGACTATTGAGAATTTTTTTGACCTTTTGAAATTACAGTGACATTAGTATTTTATAGTGCTGTTTTATTATAATGGACGTCATCTGACATTTTGTTAATATATAAAATATTCAGTCACAAAATAGTATTGCTACTAGGTGCATTTCTTTTTTAGTTAATCCATTATACCAGAATCACCTCAAGATGTGGGACAAAACAATAAAATTAAACACAATGCACGTACCAGCACAACAGTAAAATTATATTACATCAAAGATTTGTTTAATGGTCCCAGATATACTCAACAACTAAGTGTACACTCATGAAAAAAAGGAAAAGATATGACAAAATGATCACATCTAGAATTCCACTCAATCTTTAATCAAGGGATATTTCCAAAATCTGCAGTTTCAAAGGGCAAAAAAGAAAGATAAAATAAGAGGGAACCTTTTCCGACTATTCCCCCTTTAGATGTTCTTAAAAACCTGATCTAAACTGACTGAAAACATCCTGAACATATGAAGGCAGGTCATAAAAAAAAAGAGAGACGGAAACTGCTGGCATTTTAGGGGAGAAACTTCTGCTGACCAATAACAACGATGATGTGAACATCGAGAACAGCTTAGTACTTCGTTTAAAGCTGCAAAGTCCTGGTCCAAAAAAAAAGAAAAATGTAAAAGAAAAAGAAGAAAAGAAGGGAAAGTATAGTCTGCTCTGATAGGAGTGGTTACTGCTGAGTGGTGGCTATGGGTCTGCAGGCCTGCTGGAGCCGCTACATTGTTCATCCCTGAGAGGGGGGTACAAAGCGGGGTCCGAACCCCAAAGCTCTCGCGGCCATCAGTTTTGCGTCCGGGTTCCTCCCCCCAAATTTGTTACTTTATAGTCTCTTGTTTCATCCAAGATCAGTAAAATCCCTCTTTCTCCTCTCAATTTCTTCTCAGATTGGCACTTGAACGAGAGAACAGAGTGTGAAAACTAGGTGAGGGGGTCTATTTTTTTCTTTCAGACCTCACAACCCCCCAAAAAACGATGTAGTCTTTTATAATCTGTTTAGTTAAATTTTCCTTTTTTTATTTTTATGGAGTTGTTGGAAGTGAGAGTTTCCTGAACATCAGATTTTCAAGCCCAGGGATAGGCATGCGAGAGCCAGTTGTTCTTAGGAGCTCAGCTTAGATTTTTTGGAGAGTGGCGGACTCTCCTCTTTGTTCTCCGTGTCCTCATCCTCCTCCTCGTCGTCGTCAGGGTAATCCACCAGCCCCACGATTCCACTCTGAGTCAAACAAGAAACAGTCCATGAACACACTTCATTGTAAGTAGGATAAAATAGATAAGCTGTAAACAGGTTGCCTTAAAAGATTAGTTCAAGTTGATCTGAACTGAAAACATCCCTAGTTGTCTACTCAACTGCAGTGGATACACTTAGAATACAACAGAAGAACAGAACAGTGATACTGTATTAATCCTTGTGTGGAAATTCTCTTTTCACTTCACCCCATCTTGCTCTCTACACCAGGGTTCTTCAACTCTGGACCTCGATTCCAAATCCAGGCCGTGTTTTCAGTTCCCCCAGGTAGTTGTTTAATAATTACTGATTCTGATTGGTCAGAGGCTTAACACCTGACTGACAGGTAAAGGAAGGCTGGAAAACCAGCAGTGCTCGGACCTCGAGGACCGTTAGTTGAATATCCCTGCTCTACACAGACATGTGCAGGTGAGAGCAAGCTTGGGGAATCACAACAGTGGGTCAGCCATCTCGCAACGCCCAAGGAGCTGGGGCTGATGGGCCCACGGACATGCGACTCTTCTGGTGAGGCTGGGCTCAAACTGGCAACCATCCTCATCACAGGCAGAGGCTTAGCCCGCTGAACCACACACTCTAACGTTCTTTTTGCTATAAAAACATTTTCACTAGGGCTGCACAATGTCACAACGTAATGTAATTGTGATTATACGGCGCATGCGTAATAATCACCAGGGCTTTAGATGACAGGCATAAACATTTGAGCGGACGCTGGCTTTCCAGTACTATGTGGGCGTTTACTTGCACCCACACTTTGGTCGGCAGATTAGTAGTATGCCTAAAATATTAATGACAAGCCTATTGTGATGCCCAAAAGTTAGTAAACGTGAGACCATGCATGCTACCTTACTGCAGACTCAAAGTGGCATTTAAAATTCAACAGGGGTGAGTAAGCGGGGATGAGTATCACTATTTTCCCCTTTTAGCTGAAATAAGGAGGTGTCAGACCTTGGTGGTGATGGCTGCTGTCGGCGTCGGGCTTTTGGCCCCAGAGCCCGGTGAGCCGGGGGAGGCAGCAGAGCCCAGCGAGCCGGGCGACCCTGGCGAGCCGGGCGACCCGGGGTGGAGGCTGGCGGAGGACGAACTGGTGAGGCTGGCTTTGGAGGCACTGGAGAAGGACAGCTTGAAGCTGGGGCTCTGACGTCCAGACAGGTTTGACTTGGCCAACACCTCCTTCTCTTCAGTGTCTTTCACTAGATCAGAGAAACAAACACATTGATTTACCTGCATGGTCTCAACGAGCAAGCTGGCTGAAAACAGTGTTACCTATTGCAACTACTGTGGAGCATTTAAATATAGATAGAAATACACAAAATGGATGCATACGTTAAATCAAGGTTCTTCAAATCTGAACCTCGATTCCAAATCCAGGCCTTGTTCACAGTTCTCCCAGGTAGTTAGTTTAATAATTACTGATTCTGATTGGTCAGAGGCTTCACACCTGACTGACAGGTAAAGGAAGGCTGGAAAACCAGCAGTGCTCGGACCTCGAGGACCGTGATTTGAATAACCCTGCGTTAAATAATACCAATTGATAAGTCTATTAGCAAATTCTTGCTGTATCAGACTATAAAAAATTACTTAAGCTATTAAACCTGGCGTGTATTTAAATCAAAATGTTTAATGCACAATAACTGCACATTTTTGCAACACATACATGCACACAGACAGACATGTAGTAATATAAACAGACAACCCTTGATGACAAAAGAAATAGTTTGTTGGACATACATTTTCTCCTCTCCATGAACTTGCTGATTGGGTCCATGAGGTCGTCATCACTCTTCATCTTGTCGGAAGGTGGCACAATGGCCTCTCCATCTTCCAAGTCATCTTCATCTGTATTAAACCACATCTCCTCTTCATCCTCAAGTGTGCGTGCATCCCGTCTGTATCGGTGGTTCCTCAGAATTGACCGCATACTTCGGAAATGCAAAGGCATGAAATGTACAGTTAGTCGTTTCGAAATTAAACACACGCTTGCATTTCGTTGGCTGGCAATAATAGTTTTAAATTCACGTGTAAGAATTTTTTTTCCTGGAAGTAAAACTCCTTTTGTTAAACAGCAAGGATGTGGTGGATTTGTAATGATAGAACTTCAGCTGAAGATAATTTTTAGAAAGAAAAACTGAGAACTAGTTATGGAGATATTTAGTTACTTAGTTATTGAAAGTAATGGATATTGCAAAAGTAACTAACTAAACAGTCAATGGGAAAGAAGAACCAACAATACTTGGGGGGGAGGGGGGGCAACGATAACACAGCCTTGGGAAACGCACCACTTCATTCAATAAATTTAAAACACCAACTTCTAAATGTAACATCTACAAAACCAACGTGTGCCAACAGTGGTTCTCAGTCCTGATCCTGGTGCCAGAATGTTTTCATTCCAGTCCTTCTGCTCTAATCAGGCTTATATGGCCCCTAATAGGCCAATAATGAATGTGGCAGATTGAAAGCAGCGTGGGCTGGAATGAAAACACTGTGCTGGGGGACCAGGAACAGGACTGAGAACTACTGCTCTAACAGTTCCACTACAAAGGTATACTAATCCTTTTAATTCCACGGCATAAAAAAAGCCCAAAAATCAACACACCTGTCCAGTTTTGGGTTGTCCTGCCTCTCTCTCTGTTGCTCATACCGCAGTTTCAGTCCTTTAAATGTCTGAACATAGTCTATGTCTTCAAGTGCTTTCCAGTAGTTCTCTATTACATGAGCAGTCAGAGACTTCACATCCTCCTGGAACAGAAAAATGCCGTAAGCATACTGCTGAAAATAGACAGCATTTACTACACATTAGGCCAATGATGTGAAAATCACACTGTTTAAAGTCTGAAATGCAATTTTCCTAACCCTGTGATTTTTTACAAACTCGGTTTATTGTACTCTAAGAGTTCAGTACTGATTTGGGATCGGAGACTTCTGTGGCTGAGAGGGTGAAGTGAAAGGGCCGGAGCAACAGAGCTATGAAAACAACATATTACAAGTTTTAAATAATCACTGTTTCACATTCAGCCAAACTATTTAATTTTCTTTAACATATGGTTTATAAATCAAAATCTATTACTATGGAAGTATTATTGTAAGCAGCTCATGGACGTGCTGCATTTTTCCTACATTTCTACTGATGCTGCAGAAATACGTGCAGCCTCTTCTGCTGGGTTAGTCCCTTCCTGACAGCCCCTCCCTTCCTCGTCTCTCTCAGCAGCCGCAGCCAAACAGAGGCAGGAAAGAGGCCCGTCTCAACAGTGACACACCGCTAACGTCGACATATCAACTCGGGAAGGATTCTGTCACTTCGGCACCGATAAAGTGTCTGTAAAATATCCGATTTAATCTACCGTTATGTCGGCAAGGCACTTACCACTCTGAGATACTCAAACATTTCAATTATGGCGGAGTTCATAAGGTTGTAACGAGATCCATTGCTGAGAAAGGCTTTTACAACTGGTTCAAACAAAAAATTCCTCATGATGTAGCGATTGTAAAATTCATCCTTTAGTCCAATTATTTTCCGCATGAAACGAAGTGAACCTATATATATAAAAAAAAAAAAAAAACACACACACACACACACTAGTATTCAAATTGTTTGGATACTTGATCAGACAAGACGAATACCCAGTTAAATTTCTAAATATTTAAACTAACACCCCCTTGCTTAAACAAAAGAAAAAAAAATAGACCAGATAACAGAAAATCCTTAGTATTATACCCTGCCACTGTCTTCTATCTATGCAGATCCACCAGCAATACTTTTTGGTTCTATTTTATTTAAATTCTTCAACTTACAGAGTGCAAGAAAGGCATGGCATGAAGACATAAGCACCAGCACCCTACGCAGGATGTCCTTGTTGATGATGTAGTTCTTGATGTGATAGGTGTGGTGCTCCACGCAGAACGTCAGCAACTCTAAGATCAGCGCCAACAGCTGGGACGTCTGGAAGTCATCTGGACGCGGCGTGGACAAGATATATGATATTCTTAGTACTGAAGGTATTGTTCCTTCACATGAAAAGTGTGCTAGAAACTGTGCAGCAGGGAATCTCCAACAAGCTCAATTAAAATGCATAGTGGCTTACAATGGAAAGCCACAATCCTTGCTAGCAAGAGCTTTTGCCTGCTCAGCAGGTTGTAATCATGAAGAACAGCATAGTAAAAACCATTTCAGCATGTTTAAAGTTTCACAATATGTGAATTGTATGTCTCTCCAATTATTTATCATGATTCATAACCTGTTCATTTCTATGACAGGGCATCAGGTGACTCAGTAGTTAATGCATTAATTGCTACATTCACAATTCCATTCTAAGGAGTTGCTTGTACTTTTCCAAAAATATATACAGCTCTGGAAAAAATTAAGAAACCACAGCAAAATTTAGTTTCACTAATTTCTCGATTTATGGGTATACTTCTATACAAAATATATATATTTTTTTGTAACCTGCAGCCTGGTTCTTCCCTGGTTCTCATTGATGAAGGGCTTCTTTCTTGCTTTATGGGTCTTCAGTCCTGCTTCTAGGAGCCTGACATGAACTGTCCTAGCGATGCACTTCACACCTGCACTTAATGTTTCCCATTCTTTTTGAAGGTCACTTGAGGTCATAGTCTGATTTATGAGGCACTGCTGGATAAGTGAAGTCATCTCAGCGATTAAAAAGTTGCTTCTGCCCTCTAGCTGGATGGTTTCTGGTCACTGCCAGTGTCTCCTGCTTCACCTTGTTCTTGTGTACTGCTGTCTTAGAAATTTCGAGTTTCAAATTTCAAAGCAAGCCTTCTGCCAGCAGAACCAGCATTAAACCAGCATTAAACCAGGATTTAATGATGCAAATGCTTAAAAAAACATGGAGTGGTCTCTTCATTTTTTCCAGAGCTGTATACATCCTTTTTTTAACCTCTTCTTACAATCAAGATTTTGGCAAAATGCTTCACCTGTGACATTTCTTGTAGCTTATTTGCTTTAAGTGGAGGGACCTTAGGCAAGTACTTTTGAATAGACTGATTTTAAATAACATTTTGATTGCTACGGTATTACGTATTACAAATGTAATTAGCACTCTAAGTAAATGGTCTATGAAGGCATTCAACTGCAAAGTCACTCGCAGGTCTCCAAAGCAAAGGCAGTGTGCCTCACCTTTGCTGGGCCTCTCCTCTGTGGTGTTAGCCAGTAACGGTGCTGAGAGCACATGCATGCAGTGTTTGTAGAAGAAGCTCAGAAACTCTGTTTTCTCAGTTTTCTATGGGAGGTATAAAACACAAGTCATCACCTGAGAAACAACCCTTGTTAAAAAGTTTCCCGCGTTGACTCAAAGCTTATTCACAAAGGCATGTCACTCACAAAGGCATGTCACTCACAAAGGCATGTCACTCACAAAGGCATGTCACTCACAAAGGCATGTCACTCACAAAGGCATGTCACTCACATTGGCGGTGGCGAGCATGTTCTCTGGGTCCACCAGCGTACGCAACAACCCCATCAGCTGCACAGCACCGCCCAGCTCCGGATCCGTATCACAGATCATGTGTTCGATAATGAGGTTGATCAGAAGTATGTCCTAAGACAGATATTGCAATATTATCATAAGGGCTAGCAACACAATGTTAAAGTTATCATCGCTTAATGTGCATGTATAAGCGTTGACGGCACTGAACTTTATAATGCCAGTAGGGCTGGACGATATCACACCACGATGTAACGGCACAAGCGCAATAATCACCAGGACTTCAGATGATGGGCATAAACATCTGTCTGGGCTTTTTGGTACTATACAGACGTTTACTTTGCCCACGATTTCCTAATCAGATTATCAAGTACTAGGCGTCACAATACACCTCATCATAAAAACCAGTATAGTGCCAAAAAGCCAGCGTCCGGAGAAATGTCTACGCCCGTCATCTAAAGCCTTGGTGTTTCCTGCACATACGCCATATGATTGTGATGTGATATTATGCAACCATAAATGCCCATTCGTTTACATGAAGGTGACCAGCACATGTTTTTGTCATGAGAGCAAACACACTGAGCAGCATCTTAACTCTTAACGATTCTTCTTACTGACACAATTAACAGGGAAAATATCCCAGGTTAAGCCTAACCACTGCCTAACCACTGCCTAACCACTGCCTAACCACTGCCTAACCACTGCCTAACCAGTCTTTAATCCGCCCGGAGTGCTCAAATGCGCACGTGCGTAAGTGTGCCTATTGATGCACTGGCATCCCATCAAGGGTGCTCCCATGCCTTGTGCCCTATGCTATCTGGGATAGGCTCCAGGTTCCTTGCATCTATTTACTGGATAATTCGGAGACAGATGGTTACTAGAATTCAAATGTTTTGAGAGATGTGCAACCTAAATCCTTTTTATTACTTATAATGAAACAAAAAAAAATCAGTTTATAAACCCATATGCAGGATTTAGTTTGGATATCCTTTTCAAGAAAGCATTATTGGTATCAGAAGTGATAAACAGCAAAGACCAAACCACAGTGTCCAGCATGGTTTTGTAGCCATGCAGGTTGTGCCCATAATCATTACCTGCAACAATCAAGAGCCCAGCAATAAATCTTTGAGCATTAAGGGTCACCCTCCATATGTTCATGTTTATCTTTTAGCATGGGACTAAAACCAGACACCATTTCAAACGAAATATAAATAAAATTAAATTAATCAAACAGCTGGGTTACTCACATCATCATTCTGTTGAGACTCCTGCATCACAAACTCTCGTACCATGGAAGGGTTGTACTCCACCAGATAGGAGAAGATGTCAGTTGCTGCACTGCGCACTTGGGGATCATCCATTCCCTGCCAGTAGCCAACAAATTGTCATCATTCCCATGATGAATTTCAGGGCCAGAACAGCAAACAGAACACTTGCCACAACTAGACAATGTGGTATTTCATTCACTGGCAGCTTCATCCTGAACACTGAGCAAATACACTGCCAGTAATACCAGGGCATCTGGACCACACCCAAGGTGGGCATCATTCTGGCTTACCAATATAACTTCTAGTGCTGGTAGGATGCCCATATTTGACAAGGTTTTGAAGAAGGCATCTCTGTTTTGAGGTTGCAGTGTTTGTGAAAATGCACAAAATTCCTTTAGGAAATTTACCTGCAAAGCAAAAGAATATCAATATATCTAACATATTTCCTCCGCCCAACAGGGAATACAGATAAATTAATGGTACTGCTACATAGAACTGTAATCAAAGTGCAGCATTCTGGAGATCTGGGCATTTCTGATGCAGCTGCTTTACCAGCTCGTGTCTTTTGTCGTCATCTGTCGCTTCATCAGTTAGTTGTGCAAATAGGTCTGTTAAGAACTTTTCATCGTCCTGATGGGACAAGAGGCAATAGTCATTTGACACATACAATAATAAATCTACATAATAGCAGTTCGGTAGTTTAGGATAAATCAATCAATCCCAGATACCAATATTGTCAAATACCTGTCATAGTACTACACAGTACACAAGAACATTTGAAACAAGTTTCAGGACAACAAACTGAGATGCAGTCTTAAGCACACACTTCTATTTCTACAAACGATCAGCAGTCACCAAATGACTGGTTGGTTGTGCATGAAGAGCATATTGTGTTCAGAAAAAAAAGTAGTGTATAGGTTACCTCAGAGGTCTTAAAAGTATCAAATACAGAAAAGGAGCCAATTTAAAGTATTACTGGAATAGATACACATTAAACCATCAGCTATATATCATTAAAATGTATAATGATCACTACTGATCACATACATGAGACTCGTGCCATACTGACAATATGTAAAGTAACCAAAAAAAGAGCTTTACATTCACTAACTACTTAAGTACTTTAAACACAGTGGTCTGGGAAACAGAAAGATGATAACAGGAATAAAAATAAGCTGAATGAGAAGAATAACATCAGTTATGAATGAACGAATTACAGGATTCTCACATATAAAAGCTCATTCAGATTAGTGACTTTAAAGGGTATTGTGTTTTTGTCAAACTCTTCAAGTGCAACCATCTCAACAGACAGCTCATCTTTAAAACAATACTACTGATTTACAAAACACTAAAAAACAAGGAATAAATAATAATTTAAAAAAATTAAAAGAGCCATGCATAAATCTTCAAATGGAAGCTCAACTGAACCCAGATTGCTTATGTAGAACCACCCGGAACTGAACGTGGAACATCCCAAAAGGCTCCACTTAGGTCATGTATATAGCAACACTATTAATAATCTATGAGAAGATAATAAATATGAATTAGAAATTTGTGCTTTAAAATTAAGTAGCCTTTCAGTGCACTTTGAGAGCATGAAACACATCCTTTGTTCTGGTGTATTTGCATTTCCAACATTCTGTAATATTAAATACAAACATAATATGCCCTTTATGTGAACCCTGTTCTCACTAGTCAGATTTGCATGACAATCTATTATTTCTTATGGCGCACAAAAATGACAGGTATTGACTAGCCAGGATTTAGAAATTTGGAAAATACTTCCTTTATGACGCAATCTTTGTAATCTAATAGCACAGCAATGTTTACAACTGGTATTTCACTACATACACAACAGAACAGATGCCACATTTCCAGTCTACTACCACTTAGCTATAAAACATCTTTAATTTCACAAGAATAGAAAAACAGTACTACAGTAACACACAGCACCACAGTAGTACTTCAACGCTTCATACTTGATGTGCACAATGAGTGAGGGGCACTTACCTGTAACATTCCCACAATTTCCACTTTATTAAAAAAGATAAAAGAGTGGAGAGTGGACAGCATGTTTTCCTCAAAGACAGATGGGGTGGGCAGGACCATGTCCTGAATGTACTGTACTCGGTATGTCTGGTGAATTTTCTGCTTAAGTTCAGGGTCTGAAATTGGGATGACCTCCTTGAACTTGGCAGTCTTAGTCAGGAACTCCCTGTGCCTTCTGGGCTGGGGCAGGGAGGGGTCAAACTCCAGGCACCCAATCACGTCCATGATACATTCCTCTGAGAACATTACTTCAAAAAGTGCTGTTCTGTTTAACAGAAAGATTCCCTTTATGATTTCATAGAGGTGGTGCAGCCCCTCGTGGTTCTCCAGGTCCTCGCAGACATGGAAGAGCTCCAGGAGCTTCTTGATGTAGCCCTCATTCTCCACGGCCAGGGCCAGCTTCTCGCGGCGCAGAGGTGAAGGCAGTGAGGACGCCACAAGCTCTGCCACCTCCTCCAGCCGGTTCAGTTCACAAGGAGGCAGCTCAAGGCCTGGTGATGACATGTCCTCAAAGCGCTCCTCCTCGGACTCATCCACAAGGTCCTGGGTGATGTCCACTGATGGATCCTTCCCTTGGACCTGTAACATAAATGCAAAAACTACCCGATTAATTTAAATGTCCATAATTGCGACTTCAAGTTCACGGACATGTGCAAATGGGGCTATTTTGTGCATTAGGCTGCTAATTGCAGCCTATACATTGTGAAGTTTAAAGTCATACATTAAAGATTTGCCGCAGGGTGAATAATGTGTAGAAATTCAAAGACAATACCTTTAAGGGCAAATTAACAACTGGAAACTCTGAACTACACACATAGTTCAAGAGAAGGGGACAAAAAGACAATTAAAGGTGCCTCTTACCTGGCATATTTTCTCCCATATTTCATCACACCCTGCCTTCTCTTGAAAGCTAAGAGCCAAGTCGTAGTTCTCCGCCTCAGACCATACTATTAATGTGTCCTAAGGGGATCCAAATTGCATAAGTCAGAAAAGACAATTATGTATGCTATCAGGATGTTAAACTCAGGGCACTGGAACAGTAACTGGAGAATTAATACATTTGAATATAGGTATGAAATTAACGTGCAAAATATTTCAATTACCATTAAAACCACAGACGCCTGTGATTTATCATAAAATATCATTTAAAAAAGGAAAAGTCTACAGATAAAACCTTGTAGTATGACAGATAAAAAAAAAAGTATGATATTCATTCAGTGACAGCAATGCCCTGCTGAGGCACTGCAATGCTAACCTGCTGTTTCTGGTATGCAGTGTTAGGATTTATTTTTGACTCCAGAAGAAGAGAACCTGCAAAAAAAAAAAAAAACATATATATACGTCACAAAATGAAACTGGTACTGTTGTGCAAAATATGCAATGACCTTAAAATGCAATAAAGAACGAAACGGTAAATAATGAACTATACCCACTCAATTAAAAACTATCAATACTGCTTGCTTTGTCTTCTGCAAACAGATATAAAAAAAAAAAACCTCACAGGAATGCAAGTGTTCTGACAGTCTAAAGTGGAGGTAAATGAGGGAGACAACAGAATAAAATAACAAAAAAATCATTTACTACTACTGTTTTAGAAATATACAATCAGCACACCAGACACCTCACTTTATTGTGAAATAACCAGACAGTCACTACAACAAAAACGTATTTACAAGTCAAAACCACCTAGATTCCAATTGTCCCTGCCAATCATTGTTCCAGGTCTAGAATATCAAAGTCTAGACCTAGACCACAGCAAATTGCATCACCAGTTACCAATTTACACATATTAACTTATTAGTACTGTTCTATGTAAATAAAAGTATTTAAACAGGAGACAATCTGTTCAATTACATAACGTTAATCGGTAACTTACTTTGTTTCATGTATTTAATTTCTAGATTGGCTGTTAAAGTATAAAATAATGGACGGCTATTAGCCTGTGAGGCACAATGTCCAGCATCTTTGAATCAGTCACTCATGCAAATACACTTGGGATAGATGATGGGTTTCATTGGAAAAGTCCAAGGTCCCTCCCGACAAACATTAAATCAGTATTTACTGAAGAGAATCCAGTGCTGCCTATCTAACAAAACACACACACTTCTCAGTATCTTAAGCTTATAATAAAAGCAAACCTAATTACCCGGAGCGGTAAAAAAAAAAAAAGGTCAACTGTCCACCAATTTTACTGTCAGCGGGTTGTAACTTTTACTTATTAAGAAACAGTATCAAATCGAACGAGGCAACAGCCAATATCAATCCATTTAACAAAATAAAAACAAACGGTTATCTATGCGTTCGAAACTGGTGTAGAAGTAGCCTAACTACTTATTAACTATCAGAATTAGTCGTGTCGTCCTTTCTGTCTTGTGCAGAAAGAGACATAAGCAGACTTACCGTCGCTTTCGGCGCGTACCAGCAGGGACGTGCCTTTCAGCCGGTCGACGTAGCCGGACGACACATGGCCGGTGCCCCGGTCGTCCCACTGCCGCTCCTCATTCAGGGTGTAAACCTTCACTCGTCGCCGAGTGTCCGTCATGCTGCAAGCCCTCCCGCCTGTTTACACCCGAAAACCTGAACTCGACACCTCCCACCTCGCGCCCTCAAAATCTCGCCTTTCCGAGAATGGCTAGCGAAGTCCTGTAGGGAAACAGCAGTCCTCACTTCAATGGCCAACACATCACAAGAAGTTTGCAGGGATGGTGGCTTCGTACGGGAGGAGCAGCTAACTAGGCCTCCTTATTTGTGGCGCTCTCGCCATTATTACATTCAGGCGCTGTTGTAAAGTGAATATGACCCTTTCGTTTCACAACGGCAAAGAAACAAACCTCGGAAATAAAGCAAGACTAATTGTAGTCGGGCTACTACTGAACACTTGGCGCACAGTACCTAATCTTAGTTCACAGAAAAACTTAAAAAAGGGAGAAGAGTCATCAGAGTACCACAAGATAAATGGTGTTTTCGGCTACCCGCAACTGCCTGTTTCTCATTGTCCTGTAAACGTCAGAACAAACCTATAAGAAACTAACTGCAATTTTCTTAAGTTAATAGATACATTCAAAATTTCCGCCTAGTACTTAACCAAATGCCTGTGCGTAACTTGCTAGCAATATATATATTCTTTATTATTTATATCTTGCCCGTATGTTCCGCCATGTTGTTCTGTCCTGGGCTCGAGCCGCGGACGGACGAGCCTCTTCTTGCTATTACACTACCATCTCAAAATTTAGATGTCAAAGCAGCGCAATAATTCCGTATTTTTTTACGAAACGTTTTACATATGCCCGTCCTTTCTATTTCTTCCCGAACGGTTTATTTTGATAATTTCAATTCCGTCAGTCAGTATTCCGCCATCTTGGGTCCCCTCAGAGTGTTAACACGGGGTCTCCGAACCATTGATGGCAGGGGCTGTCCGCTACAATTTAAAGGGGCAGCATTTCTCTGCTCAGACGGGAGTTAGCGGTCTAAAAATGAACCATTTTAATGATGGATAAAATCTTGCAACAACATACGTTAGTGTGGACAATCGAATCTGTATTTATATAAATAATTTCCAGGCTTCTAATCTAAACCCGCTTTCATGCGCGTCATGCAAAATTATGACATATTAACAAGCCAATTTTGAGAGCGTAATTTCGCATGACCTCAGGCGCAGTATTTTTGGACATTGGAAATTCAGAAATAGGTTTTACTTCCAGACCTGTCGAATTTCCATCCATCCATCTTTAAACCCCTTAGCAGTCCAGTATAGTTACAGACTACTAAATTATAATATCTGTAATTCTGAATAGCCATTACATGTATACATCAATCATATTATAAACTACATTTTTATGTGATTTCGAAAAGGTCCGAATTTATAAACTTCAATACAATGTATTGTTATAGTGAATTTATGATTTGATAAATCGGTCTCATTGAACAAATAATTATTAGTCATTATAATCTACTGTAGAATTCTTTGAAAATTGCTAATTTCTGTAACTATTTACCTGCCCCAAAACTCTACATAGCAATCAATGATGACCATTAAAGAAAGAAACGCTTAAAAAACAGGTAAAAAAAAAAAAAAAAAACTTGGGGTAGGTCACACTGTGGCTTACGCCTTGGATAGAAGCCCTTGATGCTTTTGTTGGTTGCCATGGTGACACTGCTGCGTTTCAGCAAGAAGCCACAGAGTAGCAGACCACCCAGGACAAAGGGGCGTGATGCTGCTGATCAAATACAGTGCAAGAATTGGTAGGGGGGACTCCTCGACAAAGAGGGAAGCAGGGGGGGAACAGTCAAAATTTACAGATGAGACTAGGAGGAGTGAGTGAATAGGGGTAGGTATGAGCACACATGGCTGACGTGTCATATAGTGGGGGACGAAGTATTATTTCCCATTGTTACTATGTTAGATGGGCTGACATTTTACACATTGAAAGCTTCTGCAACGGAAACTGAATGCATTCAGACAGCCTGGTGGCTCAGTGGGACCCACAGCCACCTGACATGCCCAGAGGTGGGGCCTTCACTCCTGTCTCACACTGTTTGTGTGGAGGGTACGGTTTACTAAATCGAGGGTACGAATTAGTAATTCGATCAACTGAACGAAATAATATACACCTAAGGGGCTCCGTAGGCTAGCATGGGTAGCTGTAAGAACAATAAACCACACAAGCAACTAATATAGCATTATTTTAATTGATCTGCATCGCATCAGCACCAATATGTCTAATGAAATAGTTTTAAATATTACATATTGACATTATACATGGTAGCCTATTTAATGATCACTTTCTTGTTTTAAATTTGTTATATATAGGATGCTCGTAGCGTGTACCAAAGACTAACAAAGGAATTAAATGAGAAGAAAAATGAAGAGGTGTGTGCACTTAGAGGAACTTGGCCGTGCACCTGATACCCTCCAGATGTGGCGGTTGTTGACCTCAACCAGTGTGAAGAAAAGTTCCAAGGCTGATCGAGCTGCTCCGGATGCCTCAGCTGCAGCGTCATGTGAAGTCAGGCGTGAGGAGTATCAGCCGTAGCACCGACACAGAAGCAGATCACCCTGCTGACTGCCATTGAGAAGTGACATCCGGAGACCCCTTACCCTGGCTAATTCACACCACTTTATGCTACAACATGTCCCTTGTGTCTTTTGCTTGACGGCACAGAGGCAGTAGGTGGGTTGGTTACATTCGTAAATTAAAGAGAACTGAAGAAAGAGACAAGATTTTGGCAGGTGCATTGCAGGGTCAGCGACCTGTCAAATCCCATTTCATGCTTCTCAATCAGAAGACCACACATACTATACAACACACTACAGTACGAGTATCTAATCATATCTGGGATTTCTATATTACTATTGTATAGTATTATCATTAGCAATAAGAATCAGTTCTGCTCATTGAATTTTTATCTATTAACAAATATTTAACACTCAAAAATGGGTGTAAATTACAGGGGGGATGGGGGGGGGGGGTAACCCCTCAATAATCAGAATAATAATTTTTGCCCATGGTGGAGACCTCCACACCCCCAATGTTCAACCCAAAGTTACGCCCTTGCATTTAAGCTACTGGTCCTAACCCAAACCCAGAATTTAGGCGTCTGTGACTCTATGCCCAGCTCCGTAGCTCACAGTGAGCAGCACCTGCACGGACGCTGAGGGCAGCTGCCACAAGCTCCGCCGTCGCACGTTCCTGTCACCCCTGCTGCGTTTTCACACTATGAGTTACACAGCACCATATACTGCAGAGCCATACCAGGCAATTAAATTACCTGTGCTATAGCAAAGGGTGCAAATTAATTCTTTTCACCACAGCACAGGTTCAAAGCATGGTGAGATGTCACGGCCCAGACTGAACTTAGGAAAGGCACCTTAACTGAAAACTAGGGTCAAAAGCCACAGAATAAGGTCTTTTGAAAATGATATAGCTAGGGCTGATTTGCAGACAGACTTTAGTTATGTGCTGCAGCTAAACTGCAATGGTGATGAAGAAAAATGTGCATCCCTCACCCCCGTGTGGTTGCGGCGGCCAGCAGTATTGGACTTCTGAAGATGTCGAGGTTCCAAAGCTGTCAGGATGCCCAGGTGACCACAGAAAAGGTCACTGTCAGTGTCCAGGAAAACCTCCGAAGACCCACAGGGATGAGACAGCAAGGCCAGCAGTGATCAGCAGGGATGGGGAACAGATGCACACTTTGTACAGCTTTGAATGGGGAAATGACAGTACCGACAGTCACTGGACTGTTCGAAAGATCGATGTTCTATCCCTGCTGAAAAAAGAGCAGCGTAGCTGGCTCCCAGCATGACCAGTATAATGCATGTGATTATACCAGCATATATGCATTTTGGTGCTGGTTGACCAGCATCATTAATGGAATAATGCTGCTCAACCAGCTACACCGGCACCAAACCAGCACTAACTGGCATAGACCAGCATGGAAATCATGCTGGCCTATGCTGTTTTCTTTCAGCAAGGAAAGAGGGTGTCCTCTATGTAACCCTATTTATCTCACTGGTGTTGATGACGCAGACCAGTGTCTCCCAACCTGGTCCTCAGGGACTCGCACACAGTCCAGACCAGCTGGGGTTCCGCGAGGACCGGGCTGGGAAACACTGACATAGACTCATCCGTGTTCCGTTTGGAGAACCACCACCCGACCATACAGGGAGTTGATGGCTTTGGTCATATTATCTTAACTCAAAGAGGACACTCTCTGGAAGGGGGGGGGGCTGTAAACCAGGGACCACAAATGAAAAACAGTCTGGACAGCCAGTGCTGCTTCAAATGCATTAGTTTTAAACATGAACAAAGAAAAAACAATCAATTAAAACAAAACACATAAGTATTATTAACATACAACTTTGGTACCACTTTACTTTCATCAGGAGTAGCCTGGGGGTGGCACAGTGGTGCAGTAGTTAGCACTGTCGCCTCACACCTCTGGGACTAGGGCTGAAGTCTCCACCACGGCTCCATGTGTGTGGAGTTTGCATGATCTCCCTGTGGTGTTGGGGGGTGCACATATTTCTGTACAATTCAAAACAGATATATGGGCAAATATGGTGTGTGTTAATTCCCCTGTAATGAGTCTTTCCATGCAGGATGTACACTGCCTTGCTTGCTAAACTCTGCAGGATAGTGGTCCTATCAGGGCAAGAGACCATGGAAAATGAACGGATGGAACATCCCAGCATCCAGAAATGGAAATTATAGATAATAGCAAGTCAGGAAATTCTATATTCAAAAACACTGTCATAAAACCACAAACCAGCTTTGCTGAAGTAATTTTAAACATTTTTCATGTCCAGAAGGATCACCATAACCCTGCACTGGATAAGCGCTGTGGAAATGGATAGACATTAAACACAGAACAACCAAAGTCTCAGTATTACACTATGTATTACACTGTATTTATCAAAATGATTCAAGAAGATTTTACATCACATGGGACAATGCGTCATCCCTATGTTTATTTGTCAATATATCCTATTGGTCAGGGGTTGATTGTTTCCCCCCAAGGTCCAAATTCCACCAGCTATATAAAGCCAAAGTCCACTGCTTGAGCAGTTCATCGAGTGGGGGGGAGAGCAATCGATCGTACTGTCCGGATTACATTGTGTTTCGGTCTGGATGCGGGCCGTGGTCCGCTAAACGACTACACCTGCTGGTCATTACTTTTTTCTACCTGCCTTTGGTACAGGTCACACATACAGTTATCAAAATATACAGCAGAAGCAGCGAAGGGCAAATTTTAATTGACAAAGGCACTCAGAGGGTTATTAATATCCCTCACGAAACTGAAAATACTCTGGTGAAAAATACTGGCACCTCAACAGTTTGATTCTGACAATGCACCAATTCTCCAACACAAAAAATCTGAAATAAATATTTTGTTGTTAACATATGCAATTTGTTTATTTGCACCGCAGAATTAGAACACAATAAATAAATAATAAAAACAACTGACCAAAAAAAAAAGACAAATCTAGTTAAACTAACACCTGCAGATAATTTTTTATCAGACTGGGTCTTTAATGATTTGAAATACATTAAGCAACAGAACTGGAGGACTTTATGCTCAGATGATCTACTTATTACCTGTTTGGACATCAAGTGAGAAACCAGGTGACACCACAGTCAAAAAACACTGCAACGTTTCAAATCTCTCTCTGAATGGAGCGATGATGATGAGTGAGACTTCCTCTCTGATTTGCCACTGCAGAATGAGCTTCGATAAGAATAGAATTCAACAAATACAAATTCACCTGTCAGCATGTTGATCATTAAGCATGCCAGCAAAATAAGTGTTGTAGTGTTTTGATTGAAAGGGGATCCCCTCCTAATCACCATCTCTTCAACTGTAGACAAAGGATGACTAAGTGTGAAAATGGGGAAGGATAGATGAGGATGTGAAACGGCTTAGGTGCCAAATTGGAAACAAGTAAAACAAAGGTGAAAATCTGTGATAAGATTTAGAAAATAATGGAGCACAACAACTTCATAGTCCTCTTGTCACATGTGCAATTTTATTATTTATTGGTACAACTGGCTATTATTTGGTTAAAAGGTTACCGTAATGGGCTACAGTCTCATATTTTTTGAAGCGCTAATACATGATAAGGTAAAAAAGTTGTTACTGGAAGTCTTGGTCTTCAATTATGAGGCACTGGTCGGCATTCTTTCCTCAAAGCAGATTTATAGTTGAGTCGAAGTCGCCACTGTCCTTGGGCTCTCAGCTCCTGCCTACTCCGGTCATTCCTCATCAGCTACCAATATTAATGAAATTACCATCGACAAAAGTCACCTGATTCCATAATCTCATAGACCGTATAACCAGTGGTGCAATTGCACCCCCTGCTGCTCAGATGAAAATGCTATTTTTAACATGCGTATTAAAGTCAATAAGATTTAATTTTAAAGTTATGTATGATTAAATTTGCCGAGCTATGGGGGGTACCCTTTACCTATAATAAGATATTCGGAACAAGGGACCCAGATGCAAATCAAACAGGTTGCCAAATCAGAGCATCAGAAGTCGGGGAGGAAAGCAAATTTAGAAATGCCAGAGAGTATTTTGCGAAGACAGACGCTGGGATATCTTCGATCGCCCTCGGATCGGCAACCACATGCCCTGTGCCCAAAGCTCGGGGGAAAGCGGGGGAAGCGCTCGGTAAACAAATAGACAGTAAGCAACAATTAGTCCTCGCAGGACTGGTAAAACCAGTAATATAGCCAAGGTTACTCATCTGTTTGAGCTGTCAGTACTCTGGGGATTTGTAAAGCTACATTTCAACATGCGGATTGCGTTCGTCACATCAATGTGTGGTAATTCATTGGAAGGAAAGTTTAAAGTGGCGTGTGTCTGATTCGCCCAGCACAGCTAGCTTTATAAAGTCCTTTTGTTATCACATTTAGCTGATGTGTGGGTGCAGTATTGGTGGATGGAAATTGCATTTTTTAAGAATTCTACAAAACAGGTAAATAATGGCCATAGAAATTTACCTTATTAAACAGGTGAGCCCAGGTGAACCCAGTTCATCTCCACCCATTAAATGACATAGGCGGCTGCCTAGAGCGCCATCTTCTGAGGAGGTGCCACCTTAGCAAACCATCCCTCCACCAAGCTTCACCGTCTCTGTCACTGTCAGGGCTAGCAGCTCCTGAAACGCACGCTTTCAGACTCTCACGCTCACGGAAGGAATCTTACGGCAAATCTATATTATTCCATCATGAACCTAAAATTAGTTGTATCAACCCGTTGGGGTAGTTTGCAAACCCTACAGACTATTAACAAGGTAATAAAACTCATACATCGATGTAAATGCGTGTACAGACTTGTCTCGAATTGAAATCTCACGCCAGCCAGCTGACCAAAGTTGGCAATCCTGCATTATGTTGTGGATCCTCGATGTGTGAATGTTTATGTTTTATTGTATTAATCCTTGTTACGAATACAATACGAATACACCTGTGACTTGAACTTTGTCTGGTCTTTCATCCCCCTACCATTAAAATTGACTGTTGTTATTAAACATACGAATTTTATTTTATTTCAAGTAAACTATAATGAGATTTTTGGGTGCTTAATTAAATTTCTTACATTTGAAAGAGATGATCCACAAAAAAATACTTCATTATTTTATAAATCGTATGCTGGAATATCATATCTTGAATTATGTCTAATTATAATCAAGTGTCATCCTTGGTTCTTGAAAATTGGTTAATGTCAGGTGAAGAAATGGTTTTTGTTAGTACAATAACGCGGTGTATTACGGTAGTGCGTCATACCACACCACTTTGCGCAGTCCTGTAAACCTTTTACTTTAATAACTAAAAGAACTTTAATCTTCGGAAGTCATATTTAGATATTTAATGAAGGAGACTGATATCCTTTTTTTGTTTCATTTTCCTCTTTACTCCTTTTATTTTCCATTATTTGCATGTGATTTTTAAATTTTCCTCCTGTTATTTTTGGTTTCATTATCTTTTATGCCCCTCCATGTCTGCAGTAAACGTCATACTATTGTTATGGGACAGTACTAATGTAATTAATAACTGTCCTTTAAATGTATCCATACTACCGATTTTATTTGAAGGTCATGTGACAGCGCATATGACCGGTCACGTGACACATCACGCCTCGATAGCCGTGTTTATCTGCAGAGGTCGCATGTACCTTGAATTCGCTCGTAATATTTCTGTCTGTAACGGTCGGTGTTCCGAATAACTGCTTCTTACACTAATCGGCAGTAAAACGGAGCATCGGTCATAATCGTATGAAAAGCTTCCCATTTTAATTCATTAGTTTAACTCTTCGAGGTCTGACTGTTCGATATTGTTTTACTACATTGAAAATGTCAGGAAAAGACAGGGTCGAGGTATTTCCATCTCGAATGTGAGTAAATCTTATTTATTTAATCGGTAGTATTTTGTTTAATAGTAGCTGCCATGTGAGCGTTTCCCTTGTGCAGTACATTTTTAAATCTATATTGAATTAACCGATGTCATTACATCGGTATTGGCTATAGTAGGTTATGAAGTATGAAGTTAAAGTAATTAGGATGACCTTATGTTGGAAGCGTATGTCCTAACGAAAGAGGAAGGATTGTTCATAAGCCATGTGATCATAAGCAGCTATATTTCCATGGAACGCGAATAAAAACTTTGCGGTGCAATTGCAGGAGACGGTTTTCAATGTCTTATATTATAAAAATAAAGTCTAGTTACAAAAGTAATTTAATAGAATTGAACATGACAAGTTTACTTGTGGTTGCGCAGAACTTAATTACCACCGCTGCTTTACAGCCCTATAACGTTTACATGTTCACCTAATGTCGCGCAGGTTTCCTCTTACAGTCCAAAGACAGGCTCTTGACCTTTCTCAGTTACCTATAATGTGAGACGGATAGGCATTCTGTCCAGGCTCTACCTAACCGTGTGCATTCTGGGATAGACTCCAGGCCCAGATCAAGATAAATGGTTGAAAGATAGATCGATTAATGTTTCTTTATTTGCCGGATGATATTTTTTTTTCAAAGCAACATACAGGAGGTAGAAGGTACTTAAAAATCTAAAGTTGATCAACCAGATTTAATAACAGATATTTATAAAGGAAATTTTATCTCTCAATCCGCAATTTGTTGTTCCAGGGCACAAACCATCATGAAGGCCCGTTTGAAAGGTGCACAGACTGGTCGAAACCTGCTGAAGAAGAAAGCAGATGCCTTGTCAATGCGCTTCCGTCAGATACTGCGTAAAATCATCGAGGTGTGCAAGCAGACCCCCAGAACTCCCACCCACATTAATGCACAATGATAAACACGTCTTGGTACCTGTTGTTCCTGTTTCTTTCCAGACCAAAACTTTGATGGGTGAAGTGATGAGGGAGGCGGCCTTCTCGTTGGCCGAAGCCAAGTTTGCGGCCGGTGATTTCAGGTGAAATGCAAAGCCAAGCAGAATTTGAAATCTCTCCACGATATTATTTTCCGAGCGTCATGTGGCTGTTAGGATTTAGTCCCGCTGAATGTGACCAATGATCACACATGGTGGCTTTTTTTTTCTTCTTCAGTGCCACGGTGATCCAGAATGTCAATAAGGCGCAGGTGAAGGTCAGGGCGAAGAAGGACAATGTAGCAGGTGATGCACTGACACATTACCCTCATGTTGCATAATCGCTAAGGTTTGCAGCACTTGCCTCTTGAGCACATACCTGCTGTGCTGTTGTGCTTTGACAGGTGTCACCCTGCCGGTGTTTGAACACTATCAGGAAGGAGGGGACAGTAAGTGCCGTGACACAGGACTTCGCTTCCCATCACGTTCACAGCTGCACGGTGTTTAAAAACATCGCAGCATGTCTCGAGATTTTAAATTGCAGTGTTTTGGCTGCAAGCTATTAATATGCAATAGAAATGGTCTGGCTACATTATTGGCATCTAAGAAAATGCTAGAATTGGTATGCAGTTCCAATACTGCAAGAATAACCCTTCATCCTAGGCTACGAACTGACTGGTCTGGCCAGGGGAGGAGAACAGCTTGCCAGGCTGAAGAGGAACTTCGCCAAGGCTGTAGAGCTCCTGGTAGAGCTGGCATCACTTCAGGTTAGAAGCCTCAGTTCCGTCCCTCCCTCCTTTCCACCAGAGTTTATTTCTTTATAGATACTCAAATGCACCATTTTCTGCATGAAAGACTCAAAGATGGATGTGGTCAACTTTAGGCCGTATTTCTGCCATGAATTTGCATATATTTAACACCGATCTGTTTTAATCAATTATGCATATACACAAACATTAAAATAACGACTTCATTTACATATGTCAGTTGAAAAGTATTTTTATGTGAAGGTGTAGCGGAATACATTCAAGTTTCCTGTCGATGAAAAGTTTCCTCCAGTTTCCTCCTTGGGGGATGAATAAAGTGCCTGATTTATACCTTATTTATCTTCAGACTTCATTTGTCACTTTGGATGAGGCCATTAAGATCACCAACCGTCGTGTGAACGCCATCGAGCACGGTAAGCCTGGTAGGGGACAGGAAGCCCCCGGAAATGAGGCTATAACACAAAACACAGCAAAGCAGCAAATGAGGTATTGAGAAGCCATTGGGCAAACAGCAGTCTCACATTATTCAACTCAATTCGATACTGAATGCAGCATACTGGCGTTTATTCATTGTTAGGAGACTGATTTAGCATTTTAATAGCTTGCTTTCCAGCCATGAGCAATTTACCAGCTGAAGTAAACAGACATGAAAAATAACAAGGAATATTCTAGCTTCATTTGCCTCAGCCCTCAGCACTCACCTGTCTGTCTGTTTATAGTAATCATTCCCCGGATTGAGCGTACCCTGACGTACATCGTCTCTGAGCTGGACGAGAGGGAGCGAGAGGAGTTCTACAGGCAAGCCAGCTCTCTTCATCCCTTCCAACATTCTTCCCGCTTTCCTGCATCTGCTTCAGATCGCTATTGACTTTAATCTGTCAACAGGCTGAAGAAGATCCAGGAGAAGAAGAAGCAGGTCAGAGAGCGAGCAGAAAAGGAGATGGCAGCGCGTCTGGCCAAACTGGGGCCCATAGCTGAACCTGCAAACCTGTTCAAGGAAGAGGCGGACGAGGACTTGCTCTTTGAATGAACGTCTGCTACCATGTGTACCCCATGATCAGTGCTCTATTTAACGCCCCTGAGTGTCTGTACTGGGGAGAAAGTTAACCCTTTTTTGGCATCTAGTACCTCATGGTTATTTTGTCGTTATAACTAGGCGTATTCCATGTGTGATCCAAGCTTTGATGTAATTTCTGATTGTGCAGGGAAAACATTAATATACTGTATTGCTTTTGGGAAAGAGCTACAATGGAGCTTTGTACTAAAGGTATGGTTGAGAATACCAAAAATGATTAGTAGAGATTGTAGTATTTATTTGAAAAATTTGCACAATTGTTATGGGCTGGGCGTTCATTCATAACATGCATGCCTTACAGATCTCGTTTACCCGATTTTGTTGGTGGATATTCGACTGTGCAAACTTAATGCAGTTCCCAAGGACGAGACTGCAGTTTAGGTCCTGTGGTTTCGTGCTTGTCGTCTGGTTCCTGAAGTATTCTAAAGACCCAAATCAAAGTGCTGTTTTCATGTGCATTCTTTGAAAATAGGAACTACGAAGTTACTCAGTTTTTGTGAAATAGTTAAAAGTAGTATTTGCAAACCATTACCTTTAACTTTACAACAGCTAGGATCTAAACTGTATTGCATATTTTTAGGGTAAAAAAAAAAAAAATTGCAGACATCATGTTAAGCATTATGTTCTTTAATGATTTTCTCAGGGTGTTTATGTATAGAATGTGACTTTGTATTTGCTATTTAATTACTGGGTTTAGTAACTTCTGAATATTAATTGAGTTAATAGAACTCAGTTTGTTCTTGTTGAAGTGTCTCGTCGGTTTGCTCTGTATCACTGCTGTGAATCGGCTCATTAAAATCCACAGAGTAAGAGATTGCATAGTCACACTAGGTTAACCTACTTGCTGTTAGGTTAAACCAGCAAATGACTAACAAAACCCTGTGGTAGCATGAACTAAGTCTCATTCCTGCCATGATTTCTGATGCTGATTTTGTCATCAAAGAATACACAGTACAAATAAAACCACGTGTATATCTGTACTGGTTTGTTATGGCTATAAAATCTTGCTATGGGGGAAATCCTATGTATGCAAATGTATAAATAGGGACCTGGACTGCACTGACCTCAACCTTCGCTTTGGCCTTCTCAGTTAATTTCCCACAAGTGTTTATATTACATGGAAGTCTAGGGCCTGTCAATAAAGTCACAAAACACTGGAGAAATCCACCTAAAAGGCATCTTGTTAGATGGTGGGAGGAAAATGGAGGTTGCAGTGTGAAAAACAAACAGTAAAAATAGCATGGTTAACTAGCCGTTGGGAGTGGGTTTCCGTCAAAGCATGCTCAGCCACCCAGGACCGGACAGACAACTTTTCAGACTAAGAAAGGCTGTCGGGGGAGTTTAAAGCTCTACTGCAGCCTTTCCAACCCCCATCCAGGTGGAACCCTATATGATGCCAATTTCTATCCAATTAGTAAAATAAGCCTGGCTGGCTGTTAAAGAATACTGATAAACGTCATCCGAAAAGGAACCGTTTCATCCAATCAGAAAAGCGGGTTAAAGCAAAACACACAGGTGTTTGAGACGCACGTTGTTGAAAGAAAAAGAAAATGCTAAGAAAAATTAATAGCAGTGAAGGACTATCATTCTGGTCTTTAATTTACTTCATACAAAAAAGGAGCAGTGATTTAATACAGTTCTTTACATTCATTAGTTCTACTTCCAGTTAAATGGCTCATATCTACATCACATACAGGCAGGGACTGAACGCCTCCCTCCCTCCCTCCCTCCCTGGGAGGCCAGTGATTCCACCATGGACAGGGAGGAAGATGGGGGTGGGACAAGAAAAAAAAAAGAAATGACAACCTAGTGGTGCAATTTGTACAGGAAGATATCTAAGATTTCCACATCAATGTATGTAGGATACCTCCTTCACGCGGTCTAGCCAGCCATGCTTACAGGGAAAACCAGCAAGATTATGGAAGAGTCCATCAAAACTTCAAGCCAGGAGTGTCAGACACCCTAAGGGACCTACGCAGGGTTTCATTTTAAAACACAGCCCTAACTATCGGTGACTTATTGCTTTTTTTTTGCAATTCAAAATGGAAAATGTCAAAACTGTGTAACTAATGAGGACGTTTCAAACCTGCATACGTCTAACACGCCTGATTTACAGTTTACATGGACACACATCAGCATGACAAATAAAATTCTGACTTGGAAGGAAGGAAACATAAACATAGGTGCTTAACAGTACAGAGTCAGGCCTGCCCATCACTGGTCTACAATATCATTCTGCCATAACTTTATGGGCACTGCATTTGTTCTAATCAGTACAAATGCGCTGAGAATGACAGAAAGTCCCCCCCCCCCCCAAGCTAAAGTACACTACAGCACCACTGACTCTCAGCAGCTGGTACCGGTATGTACACATTCACACACGCACGCACACACATGCAAGCACACACATTCACGCACGCACACGCATTCACACACGCACGCACACACATGCATGCACACACACATTCACGCACACTTCAAGAGCACACTAATGCAAATTTTCCCCCACACATACATTCACAAAACTGCTTGTGTACATATGTACTCTTCAAATCAAAATATACAACTTCCAAAATACATTTCTCATTTTAAAGTTGTACATCACTCAGCTTGAAAAGGGGAAGTAACTGAAATCTGGAAAAGTGACTCAAAAAACATCCTAATAGACTCCTAATATAATTTGGTGAACTATAAAGGCTAACGCATTGCTAGGGCAAACATCACCGATAGACTGATTAACTCTGATTTCACCCATTAACAAAACAGATTTCTACAATACTGCTTATTACACTTCTGCCAGGTCCAAGAAGCACTCAAATACTAATACAGAAACACAGAATTATTGCTTCGTCAGTTTCAGACTCCAGTCGTAACTGTATTCGTTCACTTTTTTCTGTTCTTTTTCGGAAATTGACAGAGTATTAAAAAGAGCTGCTCGATGTTACAGGCAAACAAGGGTACGAGCAGACACTAATGAACCATCACTGAGACCGGCTCTTCAGTACTCAAGCTTGTCTCAAGCATTTTTAAAGACATAAATCTCTTTCAGCACTTGGAAAGTGAATGAGTCTCACTCAAGTCCCATCCTTCAAAATTCAGTGGAGTCTTGCAAACATGCAAGTGAAAAATATTAAACAAACAAACAGAGAAAAAAAAACACACCTGATACACATCCGTCGCTTCAAGGTAGTAAATGCTTTTGATCTCGACTGAAGACACATGGCTCTGCGTGTGTGTGTGTGATTCCCTAAACATACACTTTCTATTACTGCTTACTCAAACTTCATAAAAATATATATTTACAATTATAAATATTTCAGGATAGCAGTACACGACAGCAGCAGAAACATCTGTCACCAAGTGCTAAATATTTGGAATGTTGATAGTTAAATTAAGGTGAAAATAAAAGCATAAAATAGAGGAAAAAAAATCTGATTAGAATACAAAATGGTCTAAAATATGCAAGGAAAGGACAGTTGGGTCAGGTGTAAACGAAATACATTATTCCAAAATCATCCAGAAGGTGGTGCTATTGAAAGAGATCCAGAGAGGTTCAGCAGTTAACTCCCCCAAATGGGGGCGCAGCGTTGCAGGTACTTGTCTCTACAGCAGGGTTCTCGGGAGTGGGAGGGGCCTCAGCGCAGCCACGAGGAGGGCACCCACTGCGGCTCCGTGTCCAGCTTGTTGATGAGGCGTAGGAGCTCTTGGTAGGCTTTGTCCTGGTCAGCATTCACGATAGCGGCATCAAACAGGTGCCCAAAGTTCTGTTCCATTTCCCGGGCCTTTTCAATGATGTCCCTTAGCTCCTCTGGCTGCGGAGGAGCGGGAAGGTACATGTCAAGTTAGGAAAGAAACGTGGCACGAGGTCTTCCTGGCATATGGGGTGTAAATAGGCTAACATGTTACAGAAGATTTCAAAAGTTATGAAAGTGATTAATTGTCAATGATGACGCACCACAGCAGAACAAAGAAATGCGCAACATCTAACCCATGTGTGACATTGTGACATAGCAGGGGGCAGCTAATTCAGTGCCCAAGGAGCAGTGGGAGGGGCCGGGTCCTTGCTCAGAGTACCTCAGTGGTACCTTGCCGACAACCTTTCAAACACAAACGTGCTTCCCTGACCATTAAGGCCACCACCACACAGAAAATAAAGGCAACACCACCCTTTCAAATCAATGACATAACAGTATGCGGTATGGTTATTGAAAAGGTAATACATTATGGGTGAATGTTTACTTGCCTTCATGGAGTGTCCGACACTCGAGTCTGGATGCCTGATAGTCCTTATACATGCTTGTCTAACAGAAAACCCCCTTTTAAAGGTGGGGGGGGTGGGTACCTTGGGGTTTTTGTTGTCTTTGGCCAGGAGGGCCCGCAGTCGCTCCTGAGAGGGCGGGGCCATGAAGATGATGTAGGGCTTGAGGTCTGAGCTACGCAACACCTTCAAGGACTTCAAGGACAGAACATGACAATGGCAGAAGTGTGGAGTAAGACACAGGAATGAAGACAACAAACCATTTTTCCTACTATCTCCAGAACATTTTTGTGTAAGCAAAACTCCCATAAGTTTTGAACAACCATTTACAAACAAACAGCTAAAATGTCTTGCGTGAAACACAGATTTAAAGGCTGGGTCAAATATTTTAACAAGGACCAAAAAAGCAGGCAAACGTTATATTTCTCTGTATTTCCCGGACGGCCCACCTGTGTGTGTACACACAGCACGCAGATCTTGCCGGTGTTGATCAGCTGCCGGACACAGTCGATGCTGGTGCCATAGAGGTTTTTCTCGAACTCGCCAGATTCGATGAACTTGCCGGCGGCCACGTCGGCCTCAAAGGCCTGCCGCGATACGAAGTGATAGTCCCTGCCGTTGAACTCCACGTCTCTCCTGTTCCGAGTCGTGTCTGCGAAAGACAATGGCAAGGATGGAGGGAAAGTAGCACTTACATTAATCACTTCATCTGTCCACCTGTCTGTCTTCCACCACCTTCTATCTAGTACAGGGTCGCAGCGAGCTTGGTCCGGGAAACACGGGGCAGGAGATACCCTTCAGGGGATTCCCAACCACAGACACTCTTTAATGCACAGGCGTACCTGGACTGGAGATACCCTGCAGGGGATTCCCAACCACAGACGCTCTAATGCACAGGCGTACCTGGACTGGAGATACCCTGCAGGGGATTCCCAAGCACAGACGCTCTTTAATGCACAGGCGTACCTGGACTGGAGATACCCTGCAGGGGATTCCCAACCACAGATGCTCTTTAATGCACAGGCGTACCTGGACTGAAGCCCAGAGGTCCTCTGCTACTAAGGGGCCTCAACTAACCTTGTTTAATCAAACAGGAACAGGGTGAATTTAGGTGGAGAAGCTTGCAGAGGGAAGCTACGTGGGCGTCCACAGTCACTGTTTCTACTTCCTTTGCTACACCATCACAAAAACAAATAAAGGAACCTCTAAAAATAAAGAGCCCGGGGGCTTCCTGCCACATTAATGTGCCTCTGACACTCGCTGCGAGTCAGCATTTAACCTGACTGTGTATTTCTGGACCGAAGGAGAAAATCAGAGCATGGCGATGCAGCTCACATGAACACGGGGAGAGCATGCAAACTCCGGACAAGTTTGAAGTTTGCAGTACATTGTTAATAATTACATTAATTTGAGTAAAGTCTGGGTCAATGATCAGAAAATAGATGCCCTAGACCCACCTTTAACCCTGCTTAGTCAAATTCAGAGCCCCCCTGCTCTTCCCCCACCCCGATCTGCATTTCTTACGAGGAACGGCGTTGCCGAATCTTTCAGGCTCACTGGACAGCAATCGCTGTCGCATTTCGTTCTGTCCGCAGTTGGGGGGGCCGATGAGGGCAATGGGCCGCTTGCGATTGGCCGGCTGGTGATACAGCGCCATCTCCTCATAGGTGAGTATCTCCTCATTGTCATAGTCTGCCAAAGACATCAGGAAGCAGCTCTGGGTTGAGTGACACCCTGCAGTACATCCATGCGACAGTGTATGCACATGTGTGTATGCACAGGTCGGGCGAAAGCCCCGTGAGAAGCTCACCATCATTTTTGTGGGCATTGAACAAGATTTTCTTCCTTTTCTTCTTGTTCTTTTTCGCACACCAGAGCTTCCCTGCAAGAGTGAAGTAATCACCAAGGTTACCATAAGCTGGCACTTCTATTAAAATCACGCATTATCTTGCAAACGATACGATTCATACCAGATTTCTCTGGCTCCTTATCTTCCTCTATCGTCAGCTTCATGGCTTCCCTCTGTTGCTGGAAGCTCTTACCTGAAGTACGAAAGAGAGCAAAGAAAATGACAGATATGGATGTGGATGATAATGTGAGCCATTTGGACGTCACAGCTGTAGGAGATGGATCAGAGATTCACAGGTAACTATTAGATCATGTACTCAGGTGTAGGAAGACATTTCAGCCCCGTCTTTATAATGACATTACGCCACATGCAAGCTCTGCCCAGCCCAACACGTCTCTGTCACCAATCAAGACACACCATTCTGAAAAAGCCTTAGGATCTCATTGCACTTATACGTTTATATGTTTACACTCTCAGTTACAGTCACGACTTCACTCTGACACACATGCTCACATACGTAGTAGAGCTGCACGATATATTGTTTCAGCGTTGTCATCTCGAGGCGAGCATGTAAAATACTCACATGGCGTTCGTCATCACTGCTTTGTGTCTGTAGAAAACTCACAGCGACACCACCTAATACTATACTACTTATTTGATACACTCTCTTGGTATAAAGGTTCTATTTGGTTATAGTTTATTTTGGGTAATTTCATATCCTTTTTTTGTTTTATAAATATTACTCGTGGAAATTTCACATATAGCCTTGTGATATCGTGCAGCCCTAATGTTTACATCGCACTGCATCTACTATAATTGTACCCGTATTAATAGTCTTACTGTAAGCACCTTAATGTGTGCTTTGTCCTTTGGTCTACTTTGTGTTTGCCGGTGGCCAGAAGGACACGCAGAGCAGGATTTTCATTGCACAGTGTAACTGACCGCTTACTGTGCATATGACGAATTGTTTTGAATCTCGAAGAAAATTAAGTTTGAAGCTATTTATGGGGGCAGTAAGTGTATATTTGCTGAGAAACAGACTTATGCACAGAACTGAGGTCCCCCCTTGCTGAGCCAGCCTGCCCGCCTCGTACCTGGGACCAGTCCGGCGAGCGGCTGATTGTCCTCGTCCCCGTCCCGATAAGCCTGCCACCAGTTGGGGTCGTCCTGGCTGATAATGTGCAGAATGTCCCCTTTCTGGAAGCAGAGCCCCAGCTCCCGGCAGGGCACGTAGGGGTCGTCCGAGGGGTCATAGTCAAAGTGGGCCTTGACATGAACCTGAAAAGGGCGGGTTGGGGAAAATAGCTGCTCAGCTGGAATTATGAAGAAGTCAAAAGTAGGGACTGATAACGAGAAGCTCAAACGGACAGAGGCGCTACACGTCACGCGAGAGCACGTCGCATGTCGCACGTCGCGCGTCGGCCCCCTTGCCAAAGGGTGCGGCAGGGCGGCTTACCACAGTCTCCTTATGGGGCGGGGGCTTCGTCTGCAGGCTGGGAATGAGGACAAAGGTCAACATGCCGTGCATTTCTGCCTGAAGGGAGAAAAAATAAAGAACAGCATTAGCAACCGTCTACAGGCCTGCAGTATTAATGCAGTATTAATCAGTGATATACGGCTCAACCCTTATCATTATCCATGGCAGGGAACTGAAAATTAAAGGTTAATATTTGGGTACAAAATCCATTCTGAAATTAGAAATGGATCATTTTTGACATTGAAAACATTACAAGGCCAGAAAGAAGGAGCAGAGATCACCTTCCTAAGATGAATATCACCAAAACAAACTTGAGACCCATTTTTTACTTTTAAGGTAATGGAGCTGGCAGAACAGAACAATACTAAAGATAGAGTCAATTTGAAATTCTGCTAAAATTCATCATATTCACATGAGTGTGGACTGCAGCCAGCGATAAGCACTTGGCGTTATCCTGACCACAAGGAGAACACGTTAAACTAGGGCTAGATGCTCTCCACAAGCATTTTCTGGACACCAGAGCCTATTGGTCAATCGATGGATGGATGGATCGATACATAGATATCTTTATTGCTATTTGCACAGGTACGGGTCAGTACAAGTACATTGGAATTCTTGTGCGTTTCTCCCAGAGCCATTTTTATAAAACAGAGAGACACATGAAATAACATAATATAAAAAATATAAATAATAAAAGCAACAAACACATTAATTGCAGGACTGAGTAAGTGGATACACACTGTGTACAGAGTGCATGGTCTGGGTGTATGAGTAAATTATTTCACAGAAATAATATTAAGACAGTATATTGTATACAAATAATCTCTAATTTTGAGATTAAATTATGAAACAATTCATTTGGATTGCTTGACGGATTAAGTAAAAATGTACAGCACATTTTTTTGTCTTACACAATCAATCACCGTGTCCAATCGAGCCCGTCCTTACCAGAATGTCGAAGACCTCATTCACATCTTTCCCGCGGATCTCGACGCCGTTGATCTCCAGGATCTCGTCTCCTTCATGGAGCAGGCCGCTGCGCTCCGCCGCCCCGCCTTTCACGATGCGGCTGATGATCACGCTGTCCATGTCGTTCCGCACGGTGGCTCCCTGGAAGCACAGTGGGCGTCCATGGCTACGGTCAGCACCAAAGTCACGTGATCATAGAGACGCTGACCAAAAGTTGGGCCTCTGATCTTCTCACCAGGGGGATGTCCCTGGCCTTCTCCAGGTGCACGATCTTCACCGTCTCACCCCCGTACTGCGTGAGGATCTCCGCGTGCTTCTCGGTGGGACTGGCGGGCTCCAGCGTCATCTCCTGCTCCGCCACGCCGTCGTGAGCCAGCATCAAAGCCTGGAACAGAAGCATGGGAATCCAGCCTGGCACCATTTACATGAAGGTCAGGTCTCACCATTCTGCAGCCAATGCAGTGCCACTGGGTACCTGAAGGCCTCAGAACAGGAGCCCTACATGGTCATTCTACTCCCAGAGCAGATGCTCTTAAGTAGGGAAATGCAGAAGGCTAGCAGGACAAATATGTAGCATTTCTTCTGGAAGGGCTTTTGTTACAGATTTAAATATAATATGTATGCTGTGACACAAAGATAACCTTCAACCACAGCTTTATACGTACAAATCCGATTTCAGATACAGGTTCACTGGAAAAAGGGTATACCCAAGTCTCTTCCATTAACTGAACATATCTATCCTTTTTGAACAGATTAAAATACTGCTAATGCAATTCAGAAAAATGTCGATGAATCTTGAAATGAGCAGACAAGCACTAACTCGCTCTGACCTGGTGCCTCGCAGCACCTGTCAGACCCTGAGACTTTCAGATGTGAGCATCCTTCAGTCTCGCCAGTATGAGAATCATCCTCAGGGCTTAACTCACCAACACAGACCAAAGCAGCTGAGGTTTTACCTGATAAAGGCGGCAGTGGACAGGGTCTCCATGGACCAGCCATTAGAATTTAGCATTTCGTGATCAGTGCTCATTGTTGACACACCACAGCACACAGTGCACAACAAGGAAAATGCATCCTCTGCATTTAACCCATATGTGACAATGTGACATAGCAGGGGGCAGCTAATTCAGCGCTCGGGGATCAGTGCTTGGGGGCGGTACCTTGCTGGTTGGGGATTCAAACCAGCAATCTTTCAATTACAAGTGTGCTTCCCTAACCATTAAGACACCACTGCCCAGCTAACAAGGGGCTCAACAGTGTGGGACAAACGAAAATGCCAAATTCCTGCACTGTGTCTCAAAGCTGTGTGTTTATAACACATTAACTGCAGGCAAGGTTAACTACTCTAGACGAGTGAAAGTGCAATCATGGAGGGCAATGGGACAAATACACACGCCCACTAAACACAGAGGATTCTGGGCTTCTAACAAGGTCAAGAGTGAAATCTACAAAGAGGGATGGAAAACTGAGTTAAAAAGTGACACAAATTATGAGACAGAAGGCCAGAACAAAGACCACACACCAGCAAGACCCCGCAGACGGACGGGGAAGCAGACTGCGGCCTCTCTGCGCTCACAGCAGTCCGTGAGAACCGGTTAACTTACCTGCAGGTGCGGCGAGGCCAGCAGGGCATTAAGCTCCTGGCTCTCCTTCTGCGGGCTGGACTGCAGCATGGCCAGGACCTGGTAGGACAAAGCGGGCACATCAACAGAGGAGAAGGCTGGAAGAAAAATGGCGAGGCTAGGAGTGTTAGAGATGGACCACAAGACAAAGCACAGCCCCTGGTTATACCCTGGAAACGCGCAAAGCAATTAATGTTTTACCCACTATGGCTGTCTGGGATCTACACTTTGAAGCTGAAGTTGAATATGCCTTTATGTCATGCTGTCAATGTCGGCATCTTGCATCTCTCTTCTCTGCATCGTGCCCTGTTGACTCACTCTGCTGAAACCAATCCAAATACCACCAGCCGGGTTGCATGGCAAATAAAATAATCACAAAGCTTCGTGGAAAATGAAGAGCCAAAAACAACACAGGACCTTAGGCAAAATTCAGGGTTTCTTATTACCCAAGTATGTACCGGCCAATGGGAGCCCAACATTGCGACTGCTGGTTCACATGACAGGGATGAACGAGATCTACCCAAGAGGAAGGTGGAGAAGAATCCCAGTCACATGGGGTAAATTCACTTAATAGACCGCTGTGCTGAAAAAAGACGCACGAGTAATAAGTCATAGCAGCTACCACACCCTCCAAACCAAGCCCAGCACTGTTCATCATCTACTCCTCCTGGCAGTGCAGCAACAGAGCTTCACAAATACAGATCAAAACATCCACAGGCAGCTGCCTCTACAACTGCAAAATGCCAGTTTTTCAATGCATTGAGATATACTAGGTCAAAGGAATCCTCCATCACATCACCGATAATATATAGGGGGGAAAAGCAGCACACACGTGATGTGGAACACCGTCAAAATATTTGGGAAAATTCCTTCCCACCAACCGTGGAGCTGCTTAGTGTTCATAGGCTGCTTGTTCAAGCGGCACATTGTCGAGCTCACTGACGAGCAGATAGCAGAAAGCGCCCCAGCAAAGTCAGGGCGAACGTCTGCTCACTTCCCTTCAGACGGGCGCAGGGTATCTTCCCTTCAGACGGGCGCAGGGTATCTTCCCTTCAGACGGGCGCAGGGTATCTTCCCTTCAGACGGGCGCAGGGTATGCACTCTCAAGGGGCTTAGACTCTAATGAGGTCTGGACAAAGAGGAGCTCTGTGTTCCATTGTATCATAATGAATTTCAGGAAACAACAAGAGGACCATTTTTGTGACTCATTAAGAAACCACAGTACAGTAGCTCTCTTTAGAGAGCTACTCTCCCAGCATGCACTGCCTTCATTACGGGAAATAGACTTGAGTTGGCAAAAACATTGTTCTATTTTTGTAACCCAGGCACAAATTTAGCCATAGCTTAAAATTCCAATAAATAATGGAATACTGAATTCACCAATTTGTGAACAGCAAAGACACTTGGGGAAGTAAATGAAAGATTCTTGGCTGCCTGCCAGGGCTGATTTGCTCCTCAGGAGTGGTCAGGTCTCTGGGCTGCATCGTGCCGTTTCTCAGATGACCCACACTGCACCTTTGCTGCAGCCATTCCATACAATTTCAATCAGTCAAGCAACTGCTAAGCAGCTGAACTGAAAGAAAATTGGTCAAAGTACATGAGTGGAAGACAAATCAGACCCTCACATCACACTGGTCTCAGACGTAAACAACTGCAGAAAACATAGACCCTACCCGAAACTACTCCCTCTAGACCAGTGGTGTAAAGTACTTGAGTAAATGGACTTCGTTACTGTACTTAAGTATTTTTTTGGCTACTTTGTACTTGTACTGAGTATCAAAAATATAAGCAACTTTTACTCTCTACTCCACTACATTTGTGACTGAATATATGTACTCACCTAAAGGATTATTAGGAACACCTGTTCAATTTCTCA